CATCCTAAATAACTTCAATGGAGCTGATGGATTTTCATAATGTTCGTGTCTGTTTTTTATTTCCTTCAACTTCACAATTATTTCATTGGCATACTTAACAATCAATTCGTATTCTTCTTTGAACTCAGAAGCTTCACTAGCGATATGGATAAATGTTTTGCATAAATGCATGTTCCTTGTAATAACTTCAACTTTTGAATTACTTCCCTCTGTAAAATCTTTAATTTTCATTTCAATCAAGTTAGTAACATCTTTTGTCCACCATTTTAATATATAATGATCGGAAATATTATCCTTGATATTTAAAGTGTCCAAAATCTTTAGAGCATGACCACACAACACACCTAAAAATTCAAATAATTTGCAACTACAAGAAAGTATGTTGACTAGTTCACAACTACCGCATGTTCCCTGCCACTTGCATGTGTGCTAACATTGTATTTATAGAAATCTCCATCATCCTGAAAGCTTTTTATTGAAACAAGTAATGACTTTTTCCATTACTTCTGGAACAAATTAAATATGGTTGCAGTATATATATCTCTGGCATGAATCAACAAAGGAATCTTAACCTTTAACACAGAAATTCATTGGGTCATGTCAAAATTGGACTTGCTTTCATTACACGCTTATCATCAACATCTCTTTGAAAATGCTTAAAGAATTGTACAATATCTAAATCAGATTTCAAGTAGCCCTTAGTGATCCATTGAAATTTCACTCAATTGCGTGCTTTGCATACCAGCTGAAAATATATTTCTACCATATGTCATGGACCATTTCTCCCTTGGAGCAAAGGTGTTCTTCAACCAACTATTATCCTTAAGATCGTATTTTTCAAGCATTTCTTTCCATGCATTAAGAAAATCTGCTTTATACTCATAATCAAAAAGCAATTTGCTAAAATCACTCGAAAATGATTTATGAGTTTTAAAGATATGGTTAAAATGTTTACATGTGTTTTGTCACAAGTGCCATATACAAAGACGGTGTTATGTTTGTGGTATCACAAATGAGACTGCTAAACTAATTGCGGGATCTTGATCTGTGATGAATGTTTGTGGCTTACCCGCTGACATAGCTCTAAAAAATACATTAAAAAGTCATTTAAATGCTTCAGATGTTTCTTCATATAAAAGAGCAGCACCAAATACCACCATCTCCTATGATTATTTAATCCAACAAACAACGCCAATGGCCGATACCCCTTATTTGCTCTATATGTTGTGTCAAACGATACCACTTCTCCATAAATCTGAAAATCCCTTATCATTTTAGCATCAGCCCAGAAAATATTTGTTATCAAACCATCGACATTTAAATAAAAATAAAATCGAAAAGGAGGATCTTTTATTACTCTTTCTTCAAAATAATTTACCAAACTATGAGCCACTCCATACTGTAGACTTTATTTTCTTTTATCTTGAAGATAATTTTTGTGATCTCTTTTGTAAAACCTAAAGAAGCTTTCTCCCCCTGCTTGACGATCAACATATTCAAAAGAAGACTTAGGACATATTCCCAAATCATCCAATAAATCAATTTCATGTGCTTGAGAGTGTTTAATATTTCTTTGTGATGGTAACAAATGAGCTAGAGATTGATGAACAAGTGGATGATTGTGCTTCTCTTCAAATGAAATGACAGAAAACTTTTCATTTGACGACTTATGACCATATGAGCTAAACAATCCGTCCTTGTTTCCTTTCTAGGTTTCTTGACCAACATATATCGCTTATCTAGTCCTCTTTAACCTTCTTATAACATGTAATTTTTTTCTTGAAGTCACGTATCCGTAAATTTTACTTTTGTTGACGTATTCCTTTCTAACACTAAAGCCAATTCTAGTAGCACATTCATTGTAATATTCAAATCCATGCTCGTCTGAATCAAATTTCATTCCTAATTTTATTGGCTCAAATAAATAATAATTATTCATATTCTCATTTTGAGGCACAATCTCCTAGGATCTACCACCAAAAAGAATAAAGTAAAAAATATATTTCATTGCGTTAGACAAACTGATACACTATATTAATTGTCATTGTGTTTCACAGATTTATAAGACTTCAAATCTCATTTCAATTACTAGCCAACTAAACTGGGCAGTCTATATTTAACTGTAATTAATGTCAAAATAGAAATTTTAATATTTTCAACCAAAAAAAATAATCAAAGTTAAGCTTTTCTAGCCCAAAAAGTTCATTCAAGAATTTTCACAAACACATAGTGTGTAGTTATTCTACCCGTCAATTATCACAATGGAAAACATACAAATAATAAGTTTGATCTCTACATAAACGAAAATAGATGAAAAAGAACCTAGCGATGATAGTTAGTTTAAATCGGTAAAAAAAAAGCTCTGCGCCTTTTTTTCTTGCTCTCTGATTTTTTCTTCTTCCTTGTGTTCTTTCTATTGATTTTCAGCAAATTGATTTTCTTGCTAAAAATAATAAAGATATTTTGTGCATCCATAATTTTAGGTGTTGGAAAATGGCAGAAAACAAAATTTTGGAGGAAATAGGGAGAAACGAGGGAAACAATCGGGTCTTGGAGGGAATGAGGAGAAAAAAAAGAGAAATCATAAGACTATTTTTAATTGATATAATAATATATTTATTATCTAAACCATGGTTAGAAATATGTTTTAATTAATTAAATCATAGTGATTAAATCTAATTTATGCCACATGTTATTAATCAAGACTAGAACATGGAGAAAATGGAGAGAATGGAAATGGAGAAGAGTCGGATCCTTTTATTATATACTTTTCAATTGATATACGAGTACAATTGCCTTATATTCCAACAAAATGTAGACTTTAATTATTAATAAGTTGAAATAAGGCCTAATCCATCAATGACCCCTTAAACTTGGTACGAAGTTTCACATAGGCATTTTAAGTGGGCGATGTTCATTTTAGACACCTCATGTATGGTTTCATTGTGTCATTTTAACATTCTTTTACCACTCAACCAAAATATATGAGGTGTGTGTGTTAAACTTGTGAATGACGTGTAAAATGACGAATTAAATCACGACAATTGTCAAAAATAATTTGTAGATAATGAATTTTGAGTATAAATATAAAGCAATCAATGATTCAATGACACGTGGACTTTTGCCTAAATAATTTTCTTAAAACAAATTAAATCAATAAAATTCCACATGACCCCCCTCCAACCCACCCACCCACCCACCATTGTCTTCTCCAAAAATCCATACCCCTCCCCCCATCTCCCACCAACTTTTCCAAATACCCCTACTCATTTGAAGAAAATATGCACATACCCATTTTCCCACTCATTGTCTTCTCCAAATACCTCTTGATAAAACATCTGGGTCAAGCTACATACTCTTTCTTTTATTATTAGTGTCTTTTTTTTAAAAAAATAATTCTTTTTTACCCGAATTAGTAGATTTATAATTCATCAAAAATTAAGCTCTCTCCTTTTTAAATATTAAATTCTTTCAAGAAAGAATCTCATGAGTAATTTAAAATTTAATCTTGAAATGGGTCTATTTCTAAATTTCTAAAATAATTTCCATCATTTTTCATTATTTTACTGTATCTATTTTTATTCACCATATTTAAGTTTGCAAAAAATAATTAAAAATTTGACTAAAAAAGTTTTTCACGCGCGCTGAGTAAGTGTATTACACTCACTAAGTTATGTAAGCAAAAAGTGTCAAAATGACACAACGAGCCCTTTTATGAGATATTTAAAATAAACATCACCTACTTGAGGTTTCTAAATGAAATTTCTTGCCAAGTTTAAGGGGTCATCAATGAGTTAGGCCTTGAAATAATGAATAACTTTAAAATCAACAATATTATTATAGTTGTGGTCCTGAAACATAAACCTTTTATTCTCTCTTATTATATATAGATAGATTAGAGTTTAATTTGAGCATGATTTCAAACTTGTTTTCAATAGAATTTTCACTATTGAGTTTCAAAACCTTTGCGCAACATAATTTTATACAAATTTTCAGAATTATTTTCGTGTTCAAAAATAGACTTTTGGGGCCCGATTCTCAAAATCATTGATGAGTGTGGTTAGTTCCAAAATATTATTGTGGTTACTTATTTGGTAGATCACATTGATTTGGAATCCCAACTAAAGGAGAAGATTCAAGTCTTGGAGTGATTGTTCGATTATTTGAGGCAAGTGAATTTCTTTGCCCTTGTTAAGGTTAAAAAATCATTTATTTCCTTGTGGTATGTATTGTGGAGTCATGATTCTTGATAAGGAGTTGACTTGTTGATATAGAATGATCTACATGCTGAACAACAGAGATTATTGATTCATTCTTGATATTGTATCACAATGGTGTTAGTGTTAATTATGCATTGATTTAAAAATAATTATCTCCTCATTATTTGCGTGAATATGCTTATTTACATTCATTTCGAGATACAGTTGTGATAAGTATACAAATAATTATAAAATTTATATATCTAATTTATTAGTTCAATTTGATTATTTTTTACCATTGTTCTTTCAATGAAATCAAGACCAAACCAAAAAAGTATCGATTTTGAGAATTTAAAATCAAATCTAACCAAATATTGATTTTCTCAATGGATTTGATTTGATTTTTTAACCATACCATGAACAACCATAAATATCAATATTGGTTATCACGTTAGAAATTGTTTCTACTCTCTACGAAAAAATAAATAATATATTTTCAGAAAATATTTTTAATTCATCAACCAAACATAAATAAAAAATAAAAAATTCTACTCACCAACCAAATAAAAAATGAATTATTTTGCAAGAAAACATTTTCCCAAACACAGAAAAGTAAAGCTGGTGTGTAATTTTTGACCTCCATCTAGAGCTTGTGTGGATTGGGTGAAGGAACAATCAATATTGTGCAGACTCAGGTAAGAAGCAGCCATGGGAATTTTGGCCTATAATGTCAATGTGGTATCCCCAAATTTTGTTCTACCCAAAAGATCACTTTTTATCTCAGAATTTCCTCTTCCACAGATTCGCTTTAATCCCTCAAGCAGGCGCAGCATCAAACTTCAAGTAGCTTTCAGAATGACACAAAACCCAGGTGACAATTTTTTTTTTAGCAGAAAGACGAGTGATTTACACAAAAATGGCTTTATTAAGTTGTAAACTAACTCATGTTCACTCTAGACTTTCTCTGCCTTAGTGCTTCAATCGTGTAACCACTACTGCTTACACTCACTTATGGTCATAGTGCCTCAAAGTTGTGTAGCTAGTGCCAATTTAACAACAGCTACTTTGTTAAATATAGCAGACACTTTGTTTCCAGGAGTCATCTAATGCTGGATTAGTCCATAAATAATGCTTGGAATGAATAAAAAAGGAGTCAACCCGATTGAGTCACTAAACATAATTCCGGAATTTTTGACAACTTTTGGTGGAAGTCTGAGGCTCTTCTTCATATTCAATATGGAAGCCTATACCAATTAAAAATGCAACAATAAAATCATCAATCTGGTTATACCGGAGAAAGAGGCAATGCCGATCAGCTAATAACATATTCTGTGACATTCTTCTGTCTACTTACCTATGCACGTGTGCTGATGTCAGCAGCTGTGCAGAAGAAAATTTCAGTGCTGAACCAACACAATGAGAAACTAGCCGGAGTGTTGCATGATACTGGATCTATGGAGATCGTGGTCTTGTGTCATGGATTTAGATCGTCAAAGGTCTGAACTATTCCCCTTTTACTATGATTCTTGTGCTTCACTAGCTGTTCTATTGCTTCCTTGAATTTTCTACTAATGTCATCAAGTTCAGTGGCGCTGACATAAGTTTCAGAAAGTAAGTTGTATCAAGTGCTGTAGTGTCCCACCACTATGACATACCTGTCTTTATTTTCACCGATGCTCTTAAGCAACAATAGTGTGAGTCTGAAATCATCCAAACAAAATAAGTGAATAAACCAGATGATGTCAGTTATTAATTAGTTGAAGAGTTACATAATACATGTTGGTGGGAGGTGGGAGGCATCCCATGGAATTAGTTGACGTGCCTTGCAAGCTGGCCCGGACACCATGGTTATTACAAACAATTAACTGAAGAATGAATTCTTAAAAAAAAGTCTTGCTCAAAAAGATAACTGAATAATGAATATATTGGTGGATGGGTTGAGGAATCAAACTAAACCAGCTTTATTTGCTTAGTTGCATTTTGATGCAGAAATGTGAGGGCTATGAATGATGTCAGATTCCCAAGTAGTAGGCTTTACTTAGATTCTCTTAGATAAGATTTTTAGTCTTTATTGTTTTCAGCATCCGTTGCTGCTTCACATTTCTGTTATAACAAAGCTCCTGTTGATTTTTAGTTGACTGGTGATTTTCCACGTTGACTTGACCCTGAATGGGGTTTATTGATATCAAGATTTACTGGTTCTTTTTGTGTAAAATAGATCTAGTTGATCAATGCCCTTGGCTAGGCACATTGGGTTATACCACTCAAGCACCAGAATTTGGCTAGTGCTCAACCTCATGAAGATTGAGCAGCATCGGGTCATACAAGTACAAATATGAGCAGCATCTAGTAATACAAGTACAAGTTTGAGACTATTTGTGTCAATATAATGCAAGTACTTGCTGATTCACCTTCCACTCTATCAAAAACAATTTTTATGGGATTTTGAGGATAAATGGTTGAAGTGGATTGACTATTGTATAAAAACTGTTCGGTTCTTGCATAATTTAATAAGTTGAAATTTTTGGTTAAGTTCCACAATAGATGATTTTTACCTCAATTGGTAAGAGGCGATCTCCTTGGGAGGGATGTAAAGGAGCCACAGGTCACGGGTTCGATTCTCCCTTGAGGCTGCGAGCCAATAAGAGGGGATTAAAAGAGCGAATGGCCGCCCATGGCAGAGACAATACCTGAGTATGTGGATCCCGG